TTCTGTAGCCTGAATATTTACTAATACTTAGAAAGCACTGTCAGCAGCTGCGGGGTGTGTGTGTGTGTCAGTCAGTCAGCAGGGCCTGTCACGTGCTGGGTCCCGGTGCGGAGCTGTTGATGGCTTCACTGATTTGGGTCGCTATTTACTGCATCCCGACTAAAGGACGTACTCTGACATGTGCTGTGCTTTCTCAAGTGCAGAATTTTTTATTTTGGAAAAGTCTCTCTCCAAAATACCTCCCTATTGAAAGAATGAAAATTACTTTTAGAAATTTCAGTCAAAGACCAAGTAGTCACGGCTGCAAGCATAAAGTGTCCATGGTCTGTAGAAGCCAGACTGGTCCACAGAGGCCACGTTCCTCCCTCAAGGCCTCAGGCGCCCCGGGGCCTGGACCGTCGGTCATGGGTGTGGAGCTGCGGGCCACCGTCCACGCTGATTGATCAGCTGCCCGAGAGGATATGGCACATGACCCTCCTGCCCCCGGTCAGGCCTGTCGTGGAATCTGAAAGCACGGAGCCCAGGTGGTTTTGGAAGGAAGAGCGAATGGGGCCGGCACGGAGAGCTCGTCTCCGTCTCGCTCAGGGCATCTGTGAGGCGCAGAGCTGCGCTGTGTCGGCCCCTCGGCGAGCAGCAGGGGCCCCGCTTGCACCCGGGGCCGGGCTGTATGAGCAGCGCGCACCTTTTAGCAGCGGGCTCGCGTTCAGTGTGGGAGGTGCCTGCTCTGTGAGAGTCACACGAGAAGTGCTACCAACTCGGGACAACACTCACGTGCCCCGTTTCATTTCACTCCGGCCCATATCACCGCTGGGTCTGAACGGGGGGATTCTCATGTGAACAGGGGGTCTCTCTCGCTCGCATGTGGGAGCGAACGTGGGATGTGACTCGATTTTAGCCCTTCCTCCTTGGGCTGGGTCTAGAAAGCCATCCAACTCGCTAGTTTTGAAATTGGTTCAAGTGGCAGGACATCTGCAATTCAGAACATCATGAACTACCTAATATTGAAGTAAATATTGACAAATCCAATTCCTTTATAGAAACTAGAATTTCTTTTGCTGGAAGAAAAGTAGAGCAGTCTGCAAAAGTAGTTTAAAAGGTAGCTTTAGGAGGAAAAGCTTTCATTTGAGAAATGTAAGGTTTTTGGGGGGACCTAAGACTTTTCTTACATATGGGTGGTGGGACACTTGGCTCCAGTTGAGAGAATTCCATCCTGTTTCTAATAACCAAGGTCCTAACGGAAATGGAGCAGACCAGAGTATGTGCAGTACCATTTTTCTTTGTTTTTGAGGTGATTATGTTAACATCCTTGAATTCTTTTTTTAAAATAAGTTTTTGTTGATTTTTAAAGAGAGGAAGGGAGAGGGAGAAAAACACTGATGAGAGAGAAACATCCATCAGCTGCCTCCTGCACGCCCCCTACTGGGGATCAAGCCTGCAACCTGGGCATGTGCCCTGAGTAGGAATCGAACCGGTGACCTCTCGGTGCACAGAATCCGCTCAGCCGAGCCACACCGGCCAGGGCAACATCATTGAATTCTTAACCACAGATTCCTGTTCCATATGGGCCCTATAAATTCTATGGACACTTTTACGGTGCCTGCCTGCCATTCAAGACTGTCTTATTTCTTTAATGGCTTTCTTGGTGAGAACTGGAGACTCTCAGGAACCATTTTCCCTTTATGACAGTTGTCCTTAACCAGACACAGTGCACGCCAGAATCTGAGGAAATTTTCTAGAATACACAGGCCTGTTCCCTACCCTGGACCTGCTCTAGAATCACCAGGAGTGGGGCTCATAGAGCCTGGGTATTTTTTTAATTTTCAAAATTTTTAAATTATAGTTGACATTTAACATTATTCTGTATTAGCTTCAGGTGCACAGCAAAGTGGTTAGAAAACCATGGACTGTCCAGAGGGGTCCCCCCACTACTTCAGGTACCCACCTGCCCCACACTAGTTATCACAGTATTATTGGCTGCATTCCCTGGGCTTCCCACATCTCTGTGACTCTTCCGTAACCACTAGTTTATACCGCTTGATCCCTTCACCTTTTTATTTTTAAAGCTCCCAAACCAGAGAGTTATGCACTGCTGGTCGATAGCCACTGCTTGACTGAAACTGTGTTTGAGAGAGACAGACAGACAGACTTAAGCACCGTGAGGGCAGGAACCTTGCCTGTCTTATCCGTCTGCTCCCAGCACCTCATCGTCAGTGATCAAGAAATAGTCAATAGGGAATAGTGTGGGACAGTGTATCCCAAAGTGTTAATACTGATGATCACTATGAGGAGGATTTGGGATCATTTCAGTGGATTTTTTCTTTGTGTTCATTTATATTTCTTAGTTTTGTGCATTGATCATGTATGATGTAGATAATTCTTTCTAAATTACTTGAATGCTTACCCAGACTTAAGGAAGTGGTTTCAAGGCTTCTGGGCAGTTACAGAGAATCATCTGCACACCGTGCTGTGCAGTGGGCGCTGAGTGAATGTTTCCCAAGTCCGTTGACACTTTTATTCTAAGGGAAGACGGTCCCCCTGAGGTTGTGCAGTTAGCTGCCCCGCCCCCCGGCCTGGGTCCCCGGAGGCAGGCGTGTGCCGGGCACGGGGGTGCAGCTGTGGAGAGCGGGCTCCGCTCTGACCTTCATCCCCAGTGCTGTGCTCCTCTCGGGCAACCACAGTCCTTCTGCTCCGGGGAAAAGCCATTACAAACAGCACATGGGGCGCAGGACTGTGATTGCCTTTGATACACGGTCTTTTTCCAAAGAGAGTGTGGAGTCTATTTCCACGTGTAACCGAGAGCCGGGGGAGCTCCTGCCTGTCCTCTTCTGCGGAAAGATGTGCAGTCCACGATGTCCTTCCCAAGTCACATGACATCCGCAGTTCCTTGGCCAGTAATGATTCCTTTTACTAACAGCTTTATATTTTAGAAATTTAATAGGCATAGTCATTTTGGGCACTAAAGGCTTCTATTTTGAAGACTTATTTTTCCCAGTTAGTTGAAGTATGGCCTGGTAAATTGATGCTGTTCCTTTCAGTGGCGTAGAACGTTTCTTTGGGTTAATAAGTACTTTTGAGTGGCCCAGTGTCTCCACAAGAGCAGGCTTTCCTTAGCTCTGATGCTGGGGCATTCAAGTTCGTTCATTTGTGAAGTCCATAAGCAGTGTTTTAACTCTAATGTTACATTCTGGAAGTTGGGGGCGGGGAGCTCAAGAATACAAAACTTTATGACTAGTTTAGAAACAAGATATTCCCTCAATCATCAAAACCATGGTGTGTTTTTCATGCGGCTTTCTATGCTTTCACATTCAGCAGACCACCACTGGAAACTTAGTGTTTTGTGTATTCATATCCTGGACCTTAAGTTAGCCTGACCAATTTTCCAAATTCAGGTAAAGGCAGCTAAATAAGTGATGAAAACTTGATTTATTATTTATATTAACAATTCCAGGCAATTCATAGAAAAATGTTATCGTTCAGTGCTCTGTAAGAGCAGTCCTCTGAGACCTGTGCCAAGAGTATGTCCAGGACCCCATGTGGGGGGTGAATGTCCAGAACCCCATGTGGGGGGGGTGAACGTCCAGGACCCTTTGTGTGGGGGAGTGAGCCTCCAGCACCCCATGTGTGTGGGGGTGAATATCCAGGACCCCGTGGGGCGGTGAACGCCCAGGACCCCGTGGGGCATGGACCTGCAGCCCAGGTTGTCCCAGAGCAGGGCCCGCTGTACCATCTGTCAGAGCTCCTTCCCTCTGAGCAGAGGCCCCACTCAGGAACCACTTCACACTGAGACGTGACTCTTCCTGAAGGCATGTGGTTGTGACAGCTAAGGTGGAGTAACCTGTGTTGCTCGGAGACTGCCCCCTCCCACCTCTGCTTTACAGTCGTTTGATTTTTCCAGCCCCCCAGCTCCCTTCTGTGGCTTCGTAGAAACATGGTGGCCCAGCAGAATCGTCCCAGGACACTTTTTACTAGATGGGCAGAGACAGCCCGGAGGAAAGTCGACTCACTCCGGTGGCTGGAGTGCAGGAAAGCCACGCTGTGGTGTTGATAAAGGGGGCTCGGTGTGAGACGCCAGGGTGGGCGTCCCAGTGACACAGCACCAGAAGGAAGCCGCCTGCTCGGGTGAAAGACCCAGCAGTAGGGCCCGCTATTGTGAAGCCCTCGCCAGATGCACGGGGACCCTTCTCTGGTCACAATGGCCATTCACGCTGAGCAGCCTCATTAAATATTCAGCCTGTGCTTCCGGCAGCTCATTAGGGCCGCGATGAGCAGTGACGTGGGTGCTGGGGAGCCCGGGCCGGCCAGCATCAGGCAGAGGCTGAGCGAGCGGCTGGCGGCTTCTCTGTGCTCTGCCTGTCCTGTGATGACCAGTGTCTGCTCCCTGCTCTGCCTCAAGTACAGGTAAAAACAGAACAGAACCGAGCCCAGCAGGTGACGCTCGAGGGTTTGGCCTTCATCCCGTTCCGTCTGGCTCGGGCCTCTGGTTTTGAGTGCTCGCCCCCTTAAGCCCTCTGGCCCCCTTGGGGAGCTGTCTGCGGCTTTGGGGGGCTTTGCAAAGCACCAGCAATGTGCTGCTGGATGACTGCGTTTGGGAGGGTGTGAAGTGTGGGTCTGAGCGTGGTGCTGGGGGTTGCAAATAGCAGGTTACTCCTCTGGAACATGGCAGATTTAGAAATGCTGTGGGGTGAAGCCTGGCAGTTTGTGGAGGAAGTTGACTCGGTTTGAGCCAAGTTTTCAGGTACCTGAGTGGCTTGTTACTAATGGTTCCCCACCTGACTGTCAGGATAGGTGGGGATGATAAATACTCATCAGCTGCCTGGGGCTCTTCCAATGGGCTCAGTGTTGTCCTGCTTTGGAGCTTGTTACTTTGTTGCTCGGTGCCGGGTGCTGTGTGGTGTTTAAAGCCGGGAAGATCTGCCAGGGGAGAACTGGAAAATTATGAGCTCGGACAAAGTGCGCTTCTTTGGTCTCACTGTTGGCATGTGTTTCTCTTTCCTACACAGAAAATGTTTCCAGACAGCTCACTTCTATGTGGAAGACAGCAGTTCGCCTCGGGTGGTCCCCAATGAAAGTATCCCTATTATTCCTATTCCGGGTAAGTGAGGCGCGGCTCCCGTTTCCAGCGGGCTGATTGTTTCCCTCTTTTGTCCTCAGCTCTGTGTGACAGCCATGACGAGTTATCATTTGTGTGGCCTTGTAAGGCTTGCCCAGTTTCGGGGATCTTAACTCGGGGCGAGCTCAGGAAAGCTGCGCTCCTCGAGCGCCGGCAGCTGACCCCTCAGGAGGAACAGACGCCAGGACGCAGCGCCCTGTGGGTGCCGCGCGGGGGGCGGGTGCCGCGGGAAAGCGGAGGAGCCTGCGCATTTGCCGTCCGCCTGCCCCGCATCTCACTTTGATAGGTGGTTGTGCTTAGATTTTTTTTAAAAAGTCATAATTGGTGATACATTTTTAAAGTGGAGTTTTCTGTGATTCCTCACTCTGAACGCCATTTATGCGAGAGTTGAAAGCGTTGGTTCTTACGATGTTTGCATGGGGGTCTGGGACGTGTTCTTGGTCGGGAACGTACTCCGTTCGCCCTCCAGGAGAAAGACGGAGCCCTTGGCCGGGCGAGGCGTGGGGTTGGTGGCGCGCAGCGGTAAATGCCGGGCCCTTCAGGAGTTTGGTGGTGGCTGAGCTGTGACAGTCAGCGTGTGGGTTTTGAAGGTGGCCCCACCGTTATTTGGGGTCCCTTCTTTTTTGCCCAACTTGCACTTCTTTCTCTGGGTTCATTGTGTGCTTGTGCCTATCTTTAGGTATCTTCTGTATCCCTCCTCTGGACAGTAACTGTTCCTCTGTAAACAGAGGTCCTCCTTTTACTATAGCTCCCCCTCCACACAGCCGAGGCTCCCGAACTCGTCTGCCTCACTCTCCACAACACCCGTCACCGTCACACTTGTCTGTGTGTGGTGTCCCCACTCTAGGAGGAGCACTTCATAGAGGCAGGTGGGCGCCTCGCTACCTGGCACATGGTAGGCTTTCTTTAACTCACAGAGAGAATGCGGATGTCAGAGAACCTTCCTGAAGGCTATTGAAAGGCCACAGCTGTGAAGCTCAGAGGCGGGCAGCCATTCTTTGAGCACAAGGAAGGCTTCTACTGTTTGCAAACCCTCCCTAGGTGCAGCTACTGTTGGGGACTCGCCTGGCCCTTTGTGTGGCTGTTTACCCAGGAGATATTGGAATTGGCCGTGGTCTCCCACCTAGTCAGCTGCTCTCACTAAAGCTCGTCACCCAGGAACAAGAGGGGAGCAGGAAAGTCTCTGATTAACTTCTTGATGGACCATTTTGTGGCCACTGCACGATCCCCAGGCCGTTGGGATAGGTCGGGTGTTACCCTGTCCCCTGCCCTTCATTCCTGGTGGGGGGAACTGCTCTCTTGCCTTGAGGGGAGGAAGCCGGCAGGAAGCATCAGGCTTCACCACAGGGGGTGAGCGGTCTTGTGGAATCTGCGGGATCTGTGTCCAGCCTGCGGATGATCCTTTCCCGCTTGTGTCACCTAGAACGTCTGCTGACCTCTGGAAATTGCCTGGGAGCCTCTGTCTCCCCTGGACTGGCTCATGTGACACACAGCTGTCGGTGGCTGTGCAGTTGAAATCCATTTTAAGAGTTAAATGGTGAGGGACTCCTGTGCTGTCTTTGTCTTCACTTTCGGCTCCCACTGGGTTAGGAATTAGAAAACCTGAGGTCTCACCCGCCCCACGGTGACACCTGTGGCCGAGGACTTCACCTCTCTGAGCTTTGGTTTCAGAGTCTGTAACGTGAGCGGGATGCCTGCCTGGCCTGCCCATGGGGCAGCGCTGAAACTCACCCAAGGTGACGTGTGAAAGCCCTTTGGAACCAGAAAGTGAGCCCAGGCGTCATCTCTAGGCTTCTGCCCAAACCCTAGTGCTGTTCACCGCGGGAGTTCGCGGGGCGCTCGGGTAGGACGGCCCCCAACGGAGCCGCACCCACTGGCTGTGCCGCCTGCAGGCTCGTGGACTTGGGCCCTGGCCTTCCAGACCACCCGGACCCTCAGAAATGCCATCAGCTGTGCCACCTTGCCACACACCCCCAAGGAGCCGTCTTAGGCCAGAGGCACTTTCGAACCTTCTCTGATGCATCTGCCAGCTACCTGTTCCATTACCAAGTAAAATACGGCCCGAGGCCTCCCTTTACACGCCACTCCCTCCCCCCTCTCGGAGGGCCCTGGGGAGAAAGCGCCTCAGATCCTCCACCGTGAGCATCCGCGCACTTGGAGGAACCTCAGCGGGCATAGGAGAAGCGTCCTCGACAAGTTGTTACACATTTGTAAAAACAAATCTCTGTAGTTGTCATGCAGTGTGGTGTCGGAGGACCTACCTAGTGAAAGCAGGCGACGTTCCTGTCTGTGTTCTCGGGTGTGTACAGAGAGCATGGCCTTTCTAGGAAGAGGTGCCTGGGCAAGCTCACTGTGCCCTAACTGGGAAGCGGGTCCCTACAGGACCTTTCTTTAAAGAGTTTTCAACTTGATCCCTTCTCTTAAATAACACCCCTTTACCCCTGTATTTAGTAGTTACGTTTGTAAAATGTAATCGATGAAGCGCTTTAACCATCACTTACTCCCTTTGTTCCTATGGTTTCCTCCAGTTGTTACAGCACCAGCTCCCCTGCGTGGGGAAGTTAATTATAAGAACACTACAGTGTTAATAAGTTTGCGAGTTATTTTCACTCTGTTCAAACCCTCAGTGCAGCTTTTTGCAGTGGAGACCTCCCTGGGATGACTTTAAAGTGACTTACCTTGGGAATGATCCGGCTGTCCCAGTTTTTAGGAAGAACAGGACCTTATCGAATCCGTGTACAGTGATCATTCTGCCCACTGGGTGCGTTACACCCTAATCCTTGTTCAAAACCTAATGATAGGGCCACTGATAGGCCCCGATTTATCAACTTATTTTATCACTGGAATGCCTTATTTTTATAACTGATCTGTGAAAATGTATTTACAGACAACTACCAGGAAACTGGTTAAAAACCATCGATTGTCCTGGTTAAAAATGTGTGCAACAGAGTAAAATTGGAAATTCAGGTACCAAACTGTTGTAAAACAGAGCTCCTGGGCCAGGGTTGTAGAATGTGGAATATAAACTGTTCCTAGAGCTTACTTTACATTTAACCTGTTTCAGAAAACATCATCACCGTCTAATATTTATTGAGCATTTACCAACTTCGTGCTTTATGCTTATTTTCACTATAGTCCTGTAGAGACTGGTGCAGTTGATATTCCCATTTTACAGATGAAGAAACTGAGGCTCAGAGTTGTTATTTAAGGTGACACAGATTAGTGGCCAAGCAAGCATTGTAATTCTGTGTGACTTCAAAGCACAGATGCTTAGAAATGGCCCTGCCACCTCTTGGCATGCTGTTTGGGCCGTTCTGATGTCTCAAGTCTTGAGGCTCTTCATTTGGATAGTGCTTCATTCAAACAAGGCGTCTTCAAGTTCAAAATGTGACTGCTCTCTAGTTTTCTCCGAGTTGTCCTTTATCATTACTTTCTTTCACTAGCACTGACCGATTTGCTTCTGCATTAAGTTCTTTCATCTTCTTGGAGTTCATCATTCTTCTGTTAAAGTTTCCTTCATATCAAAGAATCTCCCCCATTAGCTTTGCTCTCTAGTCATGCTCATTCTCTCGCTTCCTAAGGAAGAGACTCAGCCCCCAAAACTTCATTCCCGGTGCAAAATCGGCCCATGTGACTTAAATGACTTGGGGAGGATTCCTAAACATGTCCCATGTTGAGTAAATTTAGACACTACATCAGCAACTTTTGGGTAATTCTGCTGTGGTTAAAATTCATAAATTAAAAGCTCTGATCTTTCCCACAGCATACAGAGAATCAGTAAGTTGCGCTGCCTTTAGGAAAGTAATATAAAATAGGCAAGTGGTTAAGGACAGCTTTGCTAACCTTTTGATAGCCCTTGGAAACAGCAGTTTACAGGTATTTTTAAGGAATTTTAAGTTGATCAACTTTACTAATTTTGACACAGGAATGTAGACTCTGCAGCGCCCACAGTCTTGTGCGATGCAGGCGGTTTTCCTGGACTCGCCTGCACTCAGGGCGGCGGCGGGTCAGCAGCACTGGAGGTGCCCCAGGGCGAGGCAGGGCCTTCGAGGTTACGTGCCAGTCACTGTACAAGGGACGGGGATTCTTTTATCACGAAAATCGTGAATTGCAGTGGCTGCTCCCTTATGGTGTTTGGGAAGAGTGAGCCCCCCACCTCTGATAAGTGAAACTGTGGCTTCTGCAGGAGACTGAAAGGGCTTTGACTCTCATTTCCCACCAGCAGTTTTGAGGGTGGAATGTTCGGGTCACTGGTTTCCCGTTTCCAGCGGGCGAGGATGGAGCACATCGCACGCAGTAACCTCGCCGTCAGTCCCCTCGTCCACTTCCCATTCTCTAAAATGCTGCAAGATCCACATCATTCTGAAATCTACATGTGCTGTAATTTTTTTATTTTTTAATATATTTTTATGATTTCAGAGGATAGGGGGAGAGAGAGAGAGAGAGAGACAGAAACATCAATGACGAGAGAGTCATTGATCGGCTGCCTCCTGCACGCCCCCTACTGAGGATTGAGCCCGCAATCCGGGCATGTGACCTGACCGGGAATCAAACCTCCATCTCCTGGGTCCTAGATTGATGCTCAACCACTGAGCCACGTCTGGCTGGGCAACAAGGACTTTTAAGAATCTAGTGTTCCCAACCTGGGGATACTGTTTTGAAACAACAAACTTGAATAATTTTGCTGCAGTTATTAATGAAGCCTTATGTACATATGTCACCTACCAGTCATATGCACTGTATTATATTACTTATTCCTTTGGACTTTCGTTATTTATAGCTTTTTAAAATCAGAACTTAGCTTATGAAATTAACCTCTTTATGGAGCGTGTACAAAGGGCTTTTCCAAGGTACATAGTGTCAAACACAAATGTTCTTATAAATGCTTTTCTCTGGAAGTTAGAAAATCTCACTTTCTAATAAGAGCATTACAAAACAAAATGGTGCAGCTAACCAGTAGCTTAGAAACCCAGAAATGATCC